TATCCCCTTCCTAACTCCCTACCTACACTCACCTTTACTGGCTCCATCCCCGCCTCTTCGACCTGTTTGTTTCCTCTCCACCTATCCTCTCCTCTATCCCTCTTCTATCCGCCTCCCACTCTCTCCCTATTTATTTCAAAACCCCCTTCCCCTCCCCCTTTTCTGATGAAGGGTCTAGGCCCGAAACGTCAGCCTCTCTGCTCCTATGATGCTGCTTGGCCTGCTGTGTTCATCCAGCCCTGCACCTTGTTGTCTCGGATTCTCCAGCATCTACAGTTCCTACTATCTCCCTCCACTACTACCCTGTTTCCTGCCTTCAAATCATTATGTATCCAATTGGGTAGTTCCCTTTGGATTTCATGTGATCTAACCTTGCTAACTAGTCTACAACACAGAACCTTATCGATCACCTTGAAGTTCATACAGACAAAGTCTACCACTCTGCCTTCAATCGTCTTTGTCACCTCCTCAAAAAAAAAATCAAGTTAAACATACACAATTTTTCACGGACAAAGCCATGCTGACTATCCCTAACCAGTCCTTCCTTTCCAATTGCATGTAAATCCTGTCCCTCAGAATCCCCCTCCAATAACTTACCCACCACTGACATCAGGCTCACCACTCTACAGCTCTCTGGCTTTTCCTTACCACCTTTCTTAAACAATGCCATCACATTATTCATGTTAGTGTCCAGTGTTGTATTTGCCACTGTGGGTGCATCTGAACTTGCAGGGTCAGCTGGTTCTCCCTTCTGTGCATTGTAAAGGAAAATGCACAAAATTGCTCTCAGTGGGAGTAATTAAAAAGGACCCTGTCAGCAATACCCTGAAAACAGACCCACATTTGGACAGTACAGACCCTGCCCTTTTCTCATTCAAACTCTTTTTTAAACTTTTACTGACCATTTCCATCACTGGTCCCAAGACACCAGGCACTCCCTTTTCATTCCATGCCTTTGACTCCAACCTTTGTCCTCCTTTGGATCTCTCTTCCACTCTGTGCTCTACAACTCCAAATTTCCAACCCCTTTCCCATCCTCGCACTTTCCACTCCAAAGCCTAAATGTCGTTGCCGTTCTTCGGTTGGAAATTTTACATCCTGTACTATTCAGCCATGTCACACACCATGTTTCCTGTTGTTGTCAGCTCCATGGAATTGCACCCCTCTGTTAATCTTCTGTTTCTTAGTAATAGGACAGTCACCTTACTCTACTCATGCTATACATGGTTAACCACAGGGGAATCACTCACCTTAAACCTAGCATTTGGCAACTACTAAACCATAGGTGGCATCAGGGTACAGCTCCATCTTGTCCTCAACCAATACAAATCAATATGTGCATTAACAGGAGTAAGCCATTTGGCTCTTCAATGCGATTATGGCTAATCTCATTATGGACTCATCCCCGATTTCCTGCCTATCTCAACATCCTTCAACTTCCCTGGTAGGCAAGAATTTCTCTCTTCCTTAAAAATATTCAATGACTCTGCCTCCACCACTCTCTGGGTAAGAAACACTCCATAAGATTCTCATCTCTGTCTTAAATGAGAGACCCTTTATTTTGAAACTGTATTGCCCAATTCCAATCTGCCCCATATGGGAAACATACCCTCAGCATCCAGCCTGTCAAGTCCCCTCAGGATCTTGCACATTTCGGAGGAAAATGAATCACCTTTCATTCTTTTAAACTCTAAAGACTATGTTCACTCACTGTCCAATCTTTCTTCATGAAATAAGCCCCCTCATCCCAGGATTCAGCTGAGTGAATGTTCTCTGAACTGCTTCTAATGCAGTTATACCCTTTCTTAAATAAGGAGACCAAAACTGTATGCAGCATTCTTGATGTGGTCTCAATGACCTGTACGACACAAACAAGGCGTGCCAAAATTTTATATTCCATTCATCTTGCAACAAACATTTTATTTGCTTTCCTAGTTACTTGCTGCACCTGTACACCAACCTTAAGACACTCATGTAGGGGACACCCAGATCCCTTTGTCTCTCAAAGTTCTGTAATCGCTCTCCTTTTAAAATAGCATCCTGCTTTTCTACTCTTCTTGGCAACGTGGACAAGTTCACAACTCTCCCTCAATATACTCCATCTGCCCACTCACTTAACCATTCTATATCCCATTGCAAAATTTAAATGTCCTCTTTCCAACATCCATGCATACCTACTTTCAGCAAGGCTTGCTGAGCTGCAATCTGCGGTGAATCTAAACTTATGCTCAACTCTCTAACCCAGGAGATGCATTGAGCAGCTGCACCACCAGGCCTAGCATTCCCCAAGTTGAAGCCAATGTTTCATATTTATATACTGTCTTCATTGTGGTAAAAAGTCCCAATGCACGTCACAATTAGCATGATCAAATAAAATTGGGCATTGTGGCACAAGTGGGTAAGATTTAGTCAAAGGTTTTATCCAGCATCTTAAAGGAGGAAAGAGGTAAAGAGGCTGAGATTTAAGGGGGCCAATTCTAGAGCTTTGAGCCTTTGCAGCTGAATCCACAGCCAGCAGATATGAAGCCAATGAAAATTGAGATAAATGGGAGGTCAGATTTGGACACAGGTTTTTTAATCTGGTATCGTATTTGTGTGGTATAGCATGGCTACTCAACCTACCTGCAGGTTGGGCTATCAGATGTCACCAAACAGGAACTTTTAACGACAAACTCCTCAGTAAACAGATACAGTAATTTATTTACCAACTACAGTAAGGAGAAAATAACTGTCCGGAGACAAAGTGTCAAGATCAGAGATGCTTCATTACCATTTGATACATTTGAACTATGTTCTGAAAAACACAGCCTGAAAAGCTAGTGGTAACGTCTTCAATAATTTCCAAAAAAGTGAATTGATTGAATACTTGAAAAGGAAACATTTGCACAGCCGAGAAGAAACAGCAGGGGAGAGGGACTGACTGAATAGCTCTTTTCAAGCAGCACACTGGCCAAGCCAGTTACCCTCTATCAGACTGTGCCAGGCAGTTACTGAAGTTCAGAAGTGGAATGTGAGGGTAGATATGGATCTTGGTACAAGGACATCCTATGCCACTGGACTTGCCTGTTGAGTTAATAAGCCTGATCCTACAGACTTCCTCTGGTGGTTAAACTGTGACAGGCTGAAAATGCCTCTTCATTAGAGTGTGCAGCATGAGAATCACAGCTCTTGGAATTCAGCAAGATGGTTGTGGCAGTTAAGCCACCACTTTAATATGGATGACATGTCACAAGGAACTTGTAAGCAGCTTCCTAAAACGCTTATCAGCAATTAACCAACAGCATATTAAGGCAGAGAGAGTCCCCACAGAGCGGCACAGCAAACAAACTCAAATGCAATTCGACAAGAAACAAAATGAGAAAATTTAATTAGGCAAGCCCCTCTCCAAATCATCCAGGTCTGAACGCAAGCAGTGGCAACCAGTCTTACAATGAAATACCACACAGTGCCAACCTATTCTGAAGATAATGCCAAGCGGCCTTTTAAAACCAACACCACATTTCCATAACTTCAGACATCTCGCAGGTCTCACAAATTAGAATTACAAAAAAAATATTAATGGTGAGAAAGAGCCCATTCATTCAATCGAAGCTCATTCCCCCACTCAATAACTTTTGCCATCCATCATCCAGCTACATTTTGGCTGGTCAACTGGAAAGCACAACCAGGAGCAATGTAGAACAAGCTGCCAGCTTGCTATTATTCCCCGAACACCATCAAGATATTTCTTCTGCTAACAGACCCAGCAGGTTATTTAAAATATTTATCATCTTTTGAAGTAACAAACTTTTTCCTCACAGTATTTTGGATCCAAAATACCTCCTTCCGCACTCCTACCACAGCTCCCTTGGGAAGAGACAGACCAACCGAAAACAGATATACAGTGACACCAGAGTTTCCTGGCCAGCCACACATTCTTTCACTATGTGGTCACACACAAATTTAATGAAGTTACCAAACTCAAGCCAGAGAGGAGAGAATATTTTCTCGAAATGGCAACAGGTCTTGGTATTTGACAGCCTAATCGAAGTACAACACTGAGTTGGGCATGAAGTGGGGCAACGGGTCAAAAACACACATTTCACCATATAGTACACTTAGCAACTTGAACAAGTCAAAGAATAATTTTCAAACCAAGCAGCCATCAATAAAGCCAGGAATAGAAACGTCACCTGGGCTTACAGACATCACTGACTCAATTTTCATGTTACTGACTTGCTAATCTAATCAATTCTTTCCCTTTGGCATGGAGTCCTTTCCTAGTGACCCCACCTCTGTTATCTTATTACAAGATATATGGAGAAGTTTATTAACCGATTTCTTCTCTGGGGAAAGCATTTAGCAACCGTGTGCCAAATCAACCCAGGCTTGGTTCAACACCTAACCAGACACTCTTCTCATCAGCAGGATACAGTACAACCTGGATGAAGTGCCTCTTACCTGGAACGTTAACTTTCTGTCTCCGCATACGCTGAATATTTCCAGCACTTCCGGATTTTGATCACAGCTCACCTTGGATCACTGCTACTTCAGAGGTTCCCCTTGATGAAAGTAGTAAGCTGTTTTGGAAAATGAGGATTGTGGGCTCCAACTTGGTGATTGAGGCTAGTAGCCCTAGGGGACTGGAACTTTGTGGTGGGGCAAGCCCCACAGACATCACATGCCTCCCATGGTGACAATAGCCTGTTGCACTCAGGCCTTCAGTGTGTGCAGCAGGAGGGCGTCAGTGGGATTATATCCCAGAACAGTCAGCACCTTTGAGAAGAAGGGTAAAATGGGGGAAAGGGGATTGGAATTAGAACACCAGCAACCATGTTGCTTCATGCTTTGCAGCTGTCAGGCCAATGCAACCCGTTGGGAGTTTGGGAAAATCTGGGACATGTGGAAACTTGATCATTACTCTCAGACAATTACTCTGTTATAGTCACTAAACAAGGTCAGAACAAGAAAAAAAAAATGATGTACAAGAGAAATCAAGCCACTACTGACAAGGCTCTTACCTTTGGCTGTGCTCTACGTGGAAAAGCCACTTTAGGATCAATCTGCATAGGAGGAAGAAAACACAACAGAAAATTAAATTTTCAACTGCGAGATTAAAGTTGCTATAAGAACTGTTTTGCAAAACCAGGGAACACCCAGAGAAACAGTTCTTTACTGTAAAGAAAATAGATGGAACCATAACTCCATTTAAAAGCCATTTCTAACAAATTCCAGGCTGACCTGCTGTCAGGTTAACAAAGCACACTGAACTGTAAAATACAGACAAACAGATTGCCTTTAGGGGCTGGGGTGGAGGAACAAAATTTCACGAATGCTGGGGGCGGGGAATATTGAGTTCTTCACATGTAAGGGTCAGCAACAGGAATAAAGGGGTGGTTATTGGATCAGGCTAGCTGGACATGGGCAAAATCACTGTCCTCACCCAACACCCACTTTCCAACACAAATCCTTAGAGTGCAAAAAATTCACTATGGGGACCTTGGTTGATTTTGTCTCCAAACCGGAGACCAAAGTTAATTGTATCCCAGTTCCATCTATATCCCAACTTCTGCATAATATCTGGTCTCCCCCGCTGTGGTCTACACACTCAGGAGTGGGGTTTGAGCCCAAGAACCTCTTGAGCCATGAAGAGCAGATACTCAATGATACATGGGGTGGAGTCGATGTGAAGGGACGCTGGGAGAATTTTAAAACAAGCCCAAAACCTTGGCTTCAGTTTCTGGAATTTTGAATGGAGAGACCACAGTGCTTCACAAAACCCAGGTCTTTTGGCCCTTCATGTCTGCAGCAGTTCCTTACCAGAATAATCCAGAACTAATTCCACAGACCCATAGGGACCCCACAACATTGCATCTTTCTCCATTTCTAATACGTCACCCTATTCCCTCAAAAATAAAATGGTCTCTCGCTCAACTAATCCCTGTGCCAAAAACATTCAATGTTTTGTAGACTTCCACTTTTTACTCTCAATCCCCTTACATACACTACATTCCCTAGATGAAGATGTGTGTGGGCTTGCACTACTACAGCAAGGGAATGTATGCGCCCAGCTGGGACTGAATGTACAAGTCAAAGAAAGAAACACGAGAGTAATGACCAAGCTGCTATCCATCCGGTTTCATCCTCAATCCATGCAGAATCCCAGAACTACATCAGCCAGCAAACTGAACGAAGCCAAATCAGCCTTCACAGAAATGGTGCACTGATCCACCTCAGAAGTGAGTTCTTCAAGCTGGGTATCTGCCAAATGATCTCCATTCCTCAGTTTGCAGAACTATCACATATTTCACATGTGGGAGCTCTGCATTCTTTTTTACACCCAGGCAAACACTGCACTTGTAACTATCACTGCACGTTGGAAAGGAGCTCTCCAATCCACTTACACATGGTAGAGGTCCCATGATCCTGCTAAGGTAGGCCACTTATTCATCATCCTTCCACCAACACACTGTCCTCCCTTCAGCGGTCAAGCATTCAGTTGTCTTCACCAAGTTTCGGAATTCCCTTTCAAATCTTTCCCCTTCTCCTTCATAAAACCTTTCTCTTTGACTAAGAGTTTAGTCACCTGCCCTAATTTTCTTTGACTCTTTTTTTTTGTCTGAATGTGTGCCTATGAAGCAACCTGGGACATTTCACTACATTAAAGTAAGGCACTATACAAATGAAAGCTACAGTGTACTTTGCCAGCCTTGCTTATTGATTGTAATCAGGGAGCACTATAGTAGATAAATACAGCTTCAATGCTAAGCAGTTGGCATAGGATCAGCCCAAGAAGGCCCTTTTAGCACCAAGTGACTACTCAATCACAAACATTGCTGTGGTGAGTAGGGAAGGCTGGAAAACAGCTGTCAATTGGACATCACTTTAATTGCAAGAGTAGCCAAATCAAACTAATCAGAGGCCACAATCAGAGGAAACTGATCCTGGGACAATCAGGCAATTAGAAAGGGATTGGAGAAGGGAAATAAATGAAATCAAGGATTCTGAATGAGGCAAAGAAAATTTACAGTTGGATCTATTCAGTAAACATAAACAAGGGGAGATGGTGGTGGTGACTCTAGACTAGCCCCCCAAAGGCCCAGGCTACAGCTCCAGGACATGGGTTCAAAGCCCACCATAGCAGCTGGTGGAATTTAAAAATTTACAATAGAAAGTAACAATGACCATAACACCAGCATCAACTATCATCAAAACCCACCTGGTCCCCTAACAGCCCTCGGGGAAAGAACTCTGCTATCTTTACCTAGAGTGGCCTATATGTGACTCTCAAACTACAGCCACGCGACTGATTGTTAACTGCCCTCTGAAACAGCCTAGCAAGCACCCAGTCCAAGCAGTTAGGGATGGACAACAAATGCTGGCCCTGTTATTGACTCCTGCAGTCCATGAACAAATATATTTTAAAAGAATTCACTGTGCTGTATGGCAAAACTAGGGAAACTGCACTGTGACACAATACCAGACACTGTACTGGAACTCAACCCGAGCAACAACACAGGAAAGCCACTAGTGTTTTGAAAACACTGTGGGCAAGGGGCCTGCCTGATGTAATCCTGACCTTTATCAGTCACAATTCAATCCTTGAATTCTGTTGAGGAGCATCATAGAAATCACAGAATCCTTACAGAGTGGAAACAGGCCCTTCAGCCCAACAAGTCCACACCGACCCACAGAGCATCCCACCCAGACCCATCCCCCTATAACCCAACTAATCTACACATCCCTGAACACTACAGGCAATTTAGCATGGCCAATCCACCTAACCTGCACATCTTTGGACTGTGGGAGGAAACCAGAGCACCCAGAGGAAACCCACGCAGACACGGGGAGAATATGCAAACTCCACATAGACAGTCGCCCAAGGGTGGAATCAAACCTGGGTCCCTGGCGCTGTGAGGCAGCAGTGCTAACCACTGCACCACCGTGCTGCCATTTCTTTAATATTTTACCTTTTCTCAACCATCTACTTCAAGAGGAAGAGAAAGTGTTTCACACAATGGATTCTCAATTTTCTTTACTATAAAATAACTTTCCCATTCAAAAAAAAAAATTATATTCACAATCATCCTACTCTCAGTAGGAGTTATTCGAACAACCTATTTATTCAACTTCCTCTGGTACCAGACAGAGTGACTCAATGAACATACTTAATATAGAAATACCCTGCCAATTTTTGATACGTGCCCACTCATAGAAATCAGAGTCTTGTGATGTTCCTGTATGTCAAGCCACCTCACCAGGATATTCAGTAGGCACTGGGACTAACACTTTCTCTCTGTCAAAAATCACAGACACACCTCCACATACAGCATGATTCTTGCATTCCTCGAGTCTCCAGTCAGGAATTTCTTACTTAGAAGACAGAAATTCCTGACAAGACTTGCTTTTAAAAAGGTCAGTATTGATGGTGATGTGAGGAACATCAACTTTCAATGTCGTCTACAGCAAATGGGAACTGAACCAATCTGACTTAATTTTCCATAGCAGGTCCAAGCAGGCCAAAAAAAGATCTGATTTCAACCTCCACACTGTTGAGTTAGCTGATTTTAGTTAGGTCCAAGAATAGGGCACTGCAGCTGGCCTCTTGTAAATAAGAGTCGGCCATTCAGCCCCTTGAATCTATTCCACTATTTAATTAATTCAAGGGTCCTCAAACAACAGTCCACAGTTCAGGGAAAGGGTACGCCAAGAATAACTAGTAGAAACTGGAGTTTCATTTATCGAATTAATTGCACTCCTAACCAATACTCTGCCTCATTTTGAAGTTGGGTGAGGGCAGTCTGGCTATTTGGTTCAGTTGGCTCCCTATAAAGTGTTAATCAGTGCAGTGGTTACAAGGGGGTAAGATCAGATCAGGGGATATTATTGTACTTCAGACATAAGGTAGAGTGATCCAGACTAACAAGAGAAAGCAATGGACCAAAGGTAAAATACTATAATGAGGTTATCAGCTGCAACATCAAGATTTCCTCAATTGATTCAGTGAGGGACTGAATAATGACTAACCAGTGGTAACAATGGAGTCACCAAACCTTCCCCTTCTCCCACCCACACATTCTGGTGTTTACCAATAATTCTGGGCTTTAAAGTCTGGGTTCAGGTCACATCCTGTTAGTTTGACCGTTGACTGATGGTTGGAAAAATAAATATTACATCAAACGTTATAGTTATTAGTTTAAGGGCTATGGAATTAATATATAATTGAGTTTTAAATCATGCATTTAATAAACAGACTTAACAACTGTGCAAATGAGAAGTAGATTTCCTCTTTCAAAAATATATTGAGATATCACAAGCAGAGATGCTTTCACACACAACAAAAGAATGTGAGGAATGTCCAATAATTATGCATTCTCTCAAATCTGTTTTCTGAATTGGCTGTTGCCTTATGTTAATTAGGCACTAAACAGAGGTGCATTGAAACTATCTGTAAAGAAGACCATTTCTTAATTCTATTACCATGCACCATTGGGTGCACTTGATGCAAGGAAGATCTTTTTTGTTTTTAAAAACAATCCCTCACTTTGTCGACAGGATACAAAAGCTTTTCATTCATTAATTACCCTAGTTCCCAAACCTTCTCAATTTAGGACTGTCGAAATACCGCACTGGAGATTGCGCAATCAATTGTCGAATCACATTTGGGAAACAAAATAAAAATAAGGATCCACGTTTAATTGTCAAGCTAATTTTCAGACTTTCAGGAACATCAGTAGGATCTTTATAACACAGGAGGTGTGCCTCAGAAGCAAAGTAAAAAATTGCCCAAATTAAATCATGGCTGATCTGTACTTCAACTGCATTTACCAAGTTTTGCATCATATCCGTTGACACCTTTATATAACACCCCTCTGCCAATTACAGCCTCAATAGCTCAGTTGATGGACAGCCTTTTTTGTGGCGCATCGGCAGGGGAGACGAAGAGGAGATCAGGAATTGCATTACCCTGCGTGCTAAGCAGGGCTTTCTCATTTCACTCCTGAATGGCTTCTCTACTGTCCATAATTTTTAAGATAATACACCCAACTTGGTAGGTCAAAGA